AAAGGGAAAGGGAAAGGTATTTTCCCATTGACAAGGTTGTCAAGTTGTGTCCGACCATAGGTGGTGGTGCTCATCTCCATTACTAAGCTGAAGAGCCAGTGTTGTGATAGACTACTCTGAGATCATGTGGCCAGTATGATTGCACAGAACACAGTTTACCTTCCCATTTATCTACTTGCATTTGCATGCTTTTAAATTGCTTGGTAATATAAGTAAAATAGAGAATGTCAACTTTTCTTAATAATTGTCATACTGTCTCAAGAAAACAAAATTATGGCTATTTTATTAAACTACATCACTGTTTTAAATGGACAAATTAAGCTTTTTATTTCTCTTTACTTGTGCTTTCATGATGCTGAAAGTAAACATGATTCCACAAATGAAATAATATTCATTAAAGATGCTTTTACAAAATGTGTGTCTTTGTTATTCTAATAATTAAATAAGTAAGGATATTGTACGGCAGTGTGTATAACCATTTATTGTGATATATTGTGTACTTGATTGGGAAAACAATCTTAACCTTGCATTATATTATATCTGGGTACCCTGTAGTGTACCAGCAGGTGTACCCTATATGTATCAAATGTGTCATTCATTTTTTCCTAAATTATTTAATCTTATATGTAGATATCATATATACTAATGAATTCCAAATGTGCCCTGACCTACTTCGTTTTAATCTGTCACTTTTACAGCATAGACACAATCACTTGGGTACTTTTTCATGACATCTTTCAGAAAGAAGCAGCCTTTGTTTTGTTAGTGGAACAGGGATTCTGGGATGTTTTTCATCATATTCTTTCTCTTGTGATTTACTTATGACAACGATTACATTTCCAAATCCTGTTCTTTTTATTGAAGTAAGAACAGCTCTAAGCCCTATTCACACACGTGAAAACAAACAAACAAACTGTAACTGAGAAAGGAAATATGTTGGGCTTCCTCCATCATTACTTGGATCACGCAAAAAGGAAAGCAGTGATTCTGAAGAACAGGGCCTCTTTTACACAGAGATGATCTCCATATCAGCCAGAACTTAGATTTTTTTAAGGGTTGTGGCTTGCATGGAGACCATCCACACATAAAAGTCTTTCATCTTCAGAACCATTGTTTTTCATACAATCAAAGCAATAATGAGGAAAGGGGAGCATGCTCCCTTTATCTTTGTTTGATTTACCCTCCTTTTGCACTCTTGAGTAGGGTTGTAGTGTAACCCTATCAAGTATAATCATGTGTCTGACAACATAATGTATTCTTGATGTTTTAAAGGAAAGCAGAGAAGCATCCAAGGAATATAAATAAGGTATTTAGAACTGGCACAAAATCTCACAGCCCATTTGCAATTCTCAGATAACTGAAATGTTGGTAGGGAGTGACATATTTTGATCCAGAATTTTCTTTCTTTAGTATAACTTGAGATCAGGTGATTCCCTTAGGAATTAAACTGAGGGGAAAAGTAAAGAACCAAATTTGTGAGAGGTTCCTTTGCTAAATTCATCATCTGGAAAGCTTCTGATAGATTACCTTTGACCCTTACTCATATCATTTAATTGTAATCAATGAGAATTATTATGGCCTTGTCATGACATGGTAACCTTCCTGCTGTATGTATAAAAATAAATTTACTCATCTTCTAGGGTTAGGGAAATAAATGAAAAGAAAGAGTGTTTTATAAAATTTTCTTAAAAAAAAAAAGAAAAGAAAGAGTGTTTTGTCTGCTTTGTAGTGTCTGCTTCATCTGAGAATTTTTGAAAGCAATAGCAATATTTTGTGTGAGAATAGGAAATATATATCGTTTGTTATCACACAATCAAGATGTTTTAGGGCACAGTTTCCTCATAATGCTTTCATGCACAAATCCCATTAAAATGAATGGCAGTTGTGCAAGAAGAGTATACATGCAGTATAGTTTCCTATCAAGGTTACCAGAAAGACAAACTGGGTATTTGGGTGGGAAATTTATAAATGACTTTCCTTCTTTTTTGTTTTTAGGTTAAAAGCAACTATGAACATAACACCCCATTGGATTTATGCTTTAGCACTTGAAGCATAACTCCCCCCCCCCCTTATCTCTTATGCACTATGTGTTCCATGGGGAAAACAATACAAGTGAATGTGATGTAGAATATAATGTTCCAGCTTGTGCATGGGTAGGGATCCTTCTGCATGTAAGAATCCCTTAGTTTGGTTTCCTTCTATGGTGAGGGGATTATGGTACTACTAGAAACGCATGTGTTAAATGCAATGATTCTGTGCTGTTTCAGCATACCAAATTGCCCATAAGATAAGCTTTAGTTACTATAACAAAAATAAATATCAACTTGATGTTTACTTTAATTGATTAATGATATTTACTTTAATTGATTAATTTGGAAAATAATATGTCAAGTAGCAGACATCTCTTTCTCTTTTATTTTTAACAGGCAAAACAGAAAGGGGATCCTATTCATCGTACGGGCGAGACTCAAACCTACAGGGTTGCCACCAGGTAAATGCTAGCCTATAGTATTGGAAAATATATGTTCTTGTGATTCCCCTCACCCCACCCAGTGGATGGATTTTATCGTCTCTGTCTTCCTTTCTGAAGTATCCTAGACAGTTTGCAAAGAGGGATGTAACAAAAATTAAATTGTATCTGAAAATGTGTAAATTAAAATATTCTTCAGGTGACCTATGGATTTCTGTAACAAAACTTAAATGATATCTGAAAACGTGTACATTAAAATATTCTTCAGGTGACCTATGGATTTCCATTAGTCAGTAGGGTAACATGGCTTCACCTGAGTATGTTTTCTGGATTTGAAGATAAGTTATTCCCCTGTTATCCTCGTTTTAAGTATTGATCAGCCTGCTTCAGAACAGTGTACTTAGTATTCCAGCATGCCAGTTCTTGCATAATGGTTCATCTTCAGGAATTGTATCAGTTGTGGCAGGGGAGCATGAACAGAGCATGTGTAAGACCCTGGATTTGGATGGCTATTGCAATAAATTATAGTTTTCATAGACTCTGTATGATGTTGTGTGAAAACAGGGTTGTATTGAGGGATAAAAATGTCTGTGAAAATATGATTTGTTGTCCCTTTTTGTTTCGGAATTGTTTTTGGCTGGAAGTCAAGGCCAGCAGGCTAACAGCAAAACCGTCTCAAGGGAAGCTTGTGTGAGCTAGAAAAATAGGAGTATTTTAATTAAACAATAAAATGCCAGTGTAATACAAAGGTATAGCGTCCGTGTGTGTTTGTGCCTCTGTCCACTCTGTATTTGCATACTTTTAGTCTCCAGAGAGTGTCTTTAAAATTTCTATCAATAGACAAGCATTTAAGCTTCTTTCAAACCAAGTGATAAAAGATGCTGCAGTTTAGTTTTACTGTTCATTATTGTCCTCTGAACCCACTCCCGCCTCTCTTTCTTCCCTCCTAGAACAGTAGTTGTTCAGTTTTGAAAACTACTGGAAGAAATAAAGATCCCTTTTTAAGATTCAGATGTTACAGATTTTAATTCAACTTAGCAAAAAGAACCATGTTATTTTCTTGTGTGTGGGAGTGTGACA